AAGACGCTAATATTGGTATCAGTGCAGCCATTAAAATCTTAAACAGCATATTCAGGGCTACAGCATGTGGAAGCATCGAAACTACCTCGCTTAAGAAAAAAAAGTGCATACCCACCACCAAATGTTCTTCACACTTTTCTTCATAAACTCAACCGCTCTTCCATCCACATGTCAGTTCCATAAAGAGCAGAGGTTGAAAGTGGTGTGGGCTGGTTACGCCAGGCCAGTCCTGATGGCTCATCCCCAGACCTTCCTCGTCAATTATGAATAGCTACTTCCATTACGAGAACCACTTCTGCTTTAAGGGCACACTTGCTCAAAGGAAAGAATGCTTTGGCAGTCAACTTAGACTCAAGTGTTTTTATATATAAATCTCTCCGTTTTTCATATAAATACTAATGTTAAAGGTCAATTTTCAATTAAAAACTAAGTAACGTGCACAGATAATAAACAAGCAAAGCAATTGGTTCAATTGGTGTGGTTTAGGGAAGGAACACCAATCCAACCAAGGCAGACTATTCAGTATAACCAGTTTGAAAGCAGTTACAACTGTTTTTTTAAATTTCATTCGGTGGCTCTAGTAGTTATTTTTATCACCATGTCAGCATCTTTATGGCAAAATAGTTGCAATAATGCAAGTTACATAAACACAAAATAAAAACCAAGCTTATATTATATTATAGTATAACCTAGATTATATTATTAGATTTTTTTAAATTCACATATGATAAAAAATTCTATGTACTTCATTAAAAAAAATTCTACTTGCACTAAAACCGAGACTATTATTGAATAATATTTCAGCTGTAAAGTCAACAGTCAAAATCCACTGTTGTAATAAAGTCAGCATAAAACAGAAACATAGGGCAGGATTTGGTTTTGCCATTTCAGGGGGAGGGAAAGTTAATATTTTTGGTTAAAGATTGCGAGCACAAACTAATTAAAATGTATGTATATATATAAATAGTATGTATGTATGTATGTATGTATGTGTATGTACATTAGCCATTTAAATTGAACTGCGTCTATAAAAATTACTAAGACAATATAAACACTGCCCTCCTAAAACCCTCATATATATACACACTTGTTTGACATACAAAGGGTATAGCGCAGTCAGAGGAAGCCGCAGCTACTACATGAAGTTACACTTCAGAAGAAAACGGGAAAAAAAAAAACGTAACAGTGATCACTTTAAAGGGTGGGAGAACACAAGACAGTTTCTCTGTGATTGTTCAAGGCACTTTATAAATATGACCGTTAACACTTTCCAGCCATGTGTCATTTTAACTAAGCCCAAGCTGAGAAACCACAGACCGGAAGTCATGCATGCTGAAGTATTCTCATACAAGAACAAAATTGCTTTCTTTCACCTGCGCGGCCTTTGCCTCAACTGGAGACCGTTTCCGACCACCTAATGTCTCACATACCAAACTGTTTGCAGAGGTAGCTTAGCACTTAAAATACAAACAAGAGGGTCTTCCCACGGGTAGAAAAGTACAAGATACCAATAACCCTCGATTCAAGGCAGACACTGTGTGAACTGCAGAGCTGCTCTTCTCAAGAGTAACAAGGCCACAGACACTGGTTCAGCATTAGAAGACCTGAATAGCTTAAAAGACAGATCTGACTACAAGCAGAAAGCAGTCACAAGACAACTTTCCCACTTTGCATTAAGTGCTGAGGCATAAGACAGAATTTTAAACTACGAAGGAGCATCTTTTACCCTCATTCTTAAAAATAAAAGGTTCACTGGTTGTTAGAAGACAGTGTTGTAATGGAGATCTGCTCCATTACATTTCAAGACCCGAGTATGTTAAGTTGGACAGTTTTAACTCAGAGTCAAAATCAAGACCATTAATATATTACAGGATGGACTCAAGACCTACAACACAAAGAACCTCCTTCTTCTCAAAAACAATTTTTGCTGAATATGGGTTGTTGAGTTGCTATATGGATATTTCGGGGATTTAAAGTTTTTTTTTTTTGACATTATAGTTACATTGAGTTATTCTAGGTCTCATTGAATAACTGAAGCACTCTTGGGTTCTTTGAAGCACCAGCGGGGTCCAAATGTCTGAGGCCGCTTTTTAGCATTTATACCTGGAAATATAGTTTTAAAGAAAGTAAAAATCCCATAAAATTACAGAATATTTTGCACTATTGCTTTATCATTGATCGTGACTCTTTGTATAGACAATCAGTTCTTCTTGCTTCCATTGAAGCACAAAATGCTCTTTAGATCATTTTTAAATAATGGAGAACATTAGCATCTGGTTTTACACAAACTTGAGGAGTTAATGCAGCGCGAGTGTTGCTGTCGTTAAAACAAAATGAGAGACAAACCAAATACATTCGTTAAGTTTATTTCAACGTAATTCAACTATGCAAATTTTGTTAGAATGCAAAAGCGACTTCCACTAGCAGTCTCAGATTCTGGATCTCATTGTAGATGGTTTTCTAAAGACCCATACAACTTGTATGGCGGCGAGCTGAAAATACCTTTATGGAACATTTATTTCTAAGAGCGCAGTGGTTGGGAACTCGACCACTTAACGTGCATGGACCCCTTAACCTTCGAAGACAGCCCCCCTCTCTCAAGTACGGCACATGTATTGGTAAATACTTGCATGACAATGGGTTCTCCGCCTGACGGCATTCTATATTAATAGAAGCGCTGTGTATTATTCATAGGCAGAATTATTTTGGTGGCACGGTCCCAGGCCAAAGGGAGCTCCATGCACTCCTGCTCTCAGCCCTGACATGAGGAATACTAACAATACCGGACATGTGCAGGGCTGCCCGAGTTTACCACTGCCCACACTATCGCCCATTATAATAATCTATTCAAGGATTAAAGGGGTTTTATCTTGAAGCCCATGAATAATGAATGTGGAATTTCAAAATGTAATTGCCCCGAATTAAATGATTCAAGATAATGTTTCTTTTATAAATTTGTAATGGGGCTTGGGGGGCAAAGAATGAAAAAATACATTAAATAAAACCTTTTTTTTTTTCTCCCTGCAAATGAAACGAAGAATGAAAGGACAATGGACGAGTGCCCTTACGTCTCCTAATGGGGATTTTAAAAAAGGCCCTCTTAAAGACAGATAGACAGGTCAAAGATTTCAAGAAAAGCACTCCACCTTATTTGATTCAGGTGAAAAATGCACAGAACTTTAATCTTGGACTTGTCACTGTAGACAGACTCTAATGGCTCTTACCTATACAGTTGTACTGACGCACTGGGAGTCAGTGCAATCCACTGTGTATTTTCTTTATGGCTAGATCACATTAAAGATTTGAGAATAAGTGTATTAAAGCTGATAGCTTTCCAAAGCTATAAATCTATATACAGAAGCAGCAAGAACAAGTGACAGACTTCCATACAATCATCATCTTTCAACATCATAAACCATTCTGAAAAGTATATTATTGAACAGTGCTGTTTAGTTGGGCAGAACACTTGAACTGAAATGTCATTTCCATTTCTGTATTCCATTGCCATGTACACAACTTCAAAAGGATAACAAAACATTGGGGGCATATTCTGATATTTTGATAATTTCTCAACACCTAAGTCATTTCTGATGGATCATGTGACTGGGTAGAGGAACACTGCTCTATAATTTAATAATTATTTCACACAAAAATTGTAATTATTTACTTACCCTCATTATATTACAACCTATATATTATGTTAAAAAGCTGTGCTGAAAAGCTTAAAAAAAAAAAAAAAATCTATATTCAAAGTCTTCCGAAGCCATATGATAGCTTCGTATGAGGAAGAGATGCAAGATTATCAGTAAATAATTGCTTAGCTTTGGGTAAATAACTGACCAAACTGCATCATATAGCTTTTAAAAGACTTAGAATACAGTGCTCAATAAATAAATAACAATAGACAGATCTGCAACAACATTCGGGTGAGTGAATAATGGTAGATTTCTCATTTTTGGGTGAAATATTTCTTTAATTAATAGCCCCCAATGTTTTGTTATTTAAAAGCTGACAGGAACAGAGTTTTGCCTTGTGGGTGATGCACATATTCATCCTGGATCAATGTTTCTGTATCTGGAATCCAACTAAATGACATTCGTTAAGGCTTAAAGATGACCACAACAGTTGCATGACAAATGCGAGAGACCATTTTGGTGTTGCAGTGAATACTTGCATAAAAATAAGGAAAACAAAAATAGATTTCCCAAAGATCACGTACTGTATGAGAGAAGTCAGTCACTGCAAAGTGTTTCATAAGCACAGAAGGATTAATACGGATATATATATATATATAGAACATAATGAAGAGTGAATGGCTTTAACACACAAACCTTGAATTACATTCAGAGCAAAGAGTAACCACATGGTCACCAACAACCTCTTATCCTCTGGTTCAAACCCAAAACTAATGCTCACTTTGAGAATGCACTGACTGTTCTCTGAAGTGCATGAAAATATATACTTTTTTTGGGACTGATGTCTTTCAGTAACCTTACTTTTTATGTGAGTAGAATAACTAGCATGCAGCGAGGCAGTGATGATCTCTTTACTGATCGATGTCAGAACATAAGAGTAATGATTGTCAAGCAGCACTAAACGTCAAGCGCATTTCTGGCATGATCTACAGCAACGGCTGGTTAAAGAGAAGTAAAATTCCCAGTCAGCATTTTAGATGAGTAAACAGAAACATCCTTGGCAACGTTACCATGTTAAAGTCTGATATATATATATTTTTCTTTCATTTTGTGAAGTCCGAGAAAGCCGTCATCTAGATGGGAGTCTATATGATTGGCTACTTCCTCACCTTGCTACCACCTTTTACTGGCAGGACGAGCGAAGCTACTACAAAAGAAACCAAATGTGGCACTGATAAAATCTCCAACAAAACAAAATCAAAACAAACAACAGGCTTCTTATAGCTTGAGCTAGCTCATACTTAAGCTGCATTTAATAAAAAAATAAAAATAAAAAAAACGTTTAAACTGAAATCCACTGCTTTAGTTTAGAAAGCTTTTGCTCCTATTTGTGAGTCTCTTAAACGAAAATAAATAAATAGCAGGAACTAAGATTGCCACAGTGCGCTGGTTATGACTATTTGCCGCCATCTTTTGGTTCACCTTCAGTTCGTTTGGTACTCGGGTCGTGCTTCTCAACCTTACTCTCTTTCACCACCGCATCACCTCCTGGAGGATCCTCTTGAGTACCATTGAGATCTTTACACTGGCCGTTAAGAACGGGCGTCTTGGAGGAGTCCACGCAGGCAGCGTCTGGCTTGATTTGAGCCAGGTTCATCTCCTCCTGAACACTCTCGTCTTCTTCTTCCAGTTTGCGCAGGATTATAGGGAGTTTAGCATCCGCGTTCTCCAAAAGGGCGATGTCGCTTTCTTCGTACAGTGGCAGCGGGGCCCCTTCGTCCAGCTGTTTCTGGAAGTGCAGGCGCTTGGCACGACAGCAGGACACAGCGCGCTCCAGAATCTCTTTTTCCGCCAACCGTAGTTTTATAGCAATGCGGGAGTGCAGGGACAGGTCAGGCTTCTCCAGCATGGAGCGGTCCTCCTGAACATGACAACAACAGAGATCTTAAATGAATAACGATTGGTTAACATGATCATTATTGTTAACCAATCGGAAACAAAATGGCTTGATTACAAAATCAGTTTATGACAAAACTATCTGCAGTTACTGTTGTAAGAAACAGAAAGTTTCATTCTAAATTGACAGAAAAGTCATTCCACATTTTGGCTCAATGTTTTCATTTGAACAAAAAGCAAATACGAAAAGTGTGCATGCACAAATATAATATGCATGAATGCAGAACATGCTATATTGTTCTATTCATACACATATTTAGTGCCGTCAAATGATTAAATCGCATCCAAAATAAAAGTTTTTGTTTAAATACATGTACTGTGTATATTTATTATGTATAAAAATTCACACACATGCATGTATATATTTAAGAAAAATTTTATATTTGTATATTAAATATATTAATATATAATATTAATATATACATGTAAATATTTTCAAAATATATACTGTATGTGTGTGTATTTATATACACATAATAAATA